CGTGACAGAAATGGTCGGGCCGCAGGCCCGACCATCGCCGCCGGCAGGCCAAGCAGGCCCGGCCCCTGCCGAACGGAGTTGCCGGCGCAGCGAAGTGAAGCTGGCAACTTCGTTTGGCGGAAGGGCGGGCCTGCTTGTTATGATACAAAACGACCCTGAAATTCCCAGATCGCTCTCCCAATTATTTCTCGAGTTATCGTGCGGCCAGACAAACAAACAAACAGACAAACAGAATGAAACTTTTCCGGTCAGTGGAGTAATGGGCTTCGCCGATCGCTCAGCCAATAAAATAAGCCCACTCTTCTGCTTAGAAGGAAATTTTGAACCGACGGCATTCTTTTTAGACAAAAGTGTACCCCTGAAAGCAATAAAACTCTTTCTGTTTTGGCCATTTTGGCCAGAAAAATTCCCTTTTGTAAATAAACAGTGAAAGCCAAACGTACGAAATTCTAGACCAGGAGGTTTTTCTTTCACGATTCACCCCTTTCGAGACTGATAGAGCATTTGCATGGCAGAAGCGCAGGGCTGTAAACGAAGAAGGTAGAACACCTTTGCAGTCTTGTAGTGCACTTACCATCTTGGAGGGTGCAGATGTGATGGTTCTCTGGAGGAGGTGTAATTTTAAATTTACACTCTGTTGGACTCAAAATATACTGACGTGTAGACAAAGAAGAGTTCTCGGATTTCTGATTTGATATTACCTAAAAGGTGGTGAAAAGTATTGTGTTTAAAATAACGACGACATGCAACACTTTGAATTTAAAAATGTCTGTACGCACTGTCCCATGATGCTGTTTCTGCAAAAGCGCGCTGCCTGTCCAGTCCACGCAAACCGGCATAAGGTGCAACGGTGTCCTGAGCTCCAGGAGGATAAAATTGTAGAAAAGTCCGGATTTAGCGGTAACGTCGCTTGGCGAGAAGGCTCGGATCACCTTTCCGAAAAACAAAAACGCAGTCCATCCATAAGAAAATGTACATCGGGTACAAAAATAAAAAAGTATTCAATGCAAATTATTCTTCAATTGACCCGGAAGATGCACGCCAGACAATGTCTCGATCTCGTGCCACACTGTTAAATGCGTTTTTGTAGAGTTAAGGGAGGGTGGGGCACATAGTGACATACTGCTGCGCTGGCCCCTCTGTGTTACGATGGAAATACATGAAATCGCAAGTTGTTCGTTGATCGAGTTCCACCTTAATAGGCATCGATATCGCTTACACTGATAAACTAAGTGTGCAACTGCTAAACACTTGAAAGTGTGCAACTGCCAGTTGAATACTTATAAGTGTGCAATTGCAAGTTAAATACTTGCAACTCTGTTTAAAAAAAGTTCCGTTCAGGAACGGATCGTGAAAGCAGATGATACGAATTCAAGAATTATTCCAGTCTATAATATTTCAGTGGAAGATCACGTTACGCATTACTTGTATAGTAT